AAAAAACGTGAGAATAATATTTTTAATATTATCAAATACACATTAGTGAAATTATCCTTTTTGTTAAGAGAAGATCGGTTCTGGTTGAAAGAATTTTCTAAATTGTATTGCTTTTATCGCAAGTATCGAGATGGCTTCTTCCAATTAATACATTTCACATTTTCTTAAAAAAAAATACACATGGCACTACAATATAAATATGTAAAATATAATACAACATACAGTTATCTATATCAAAATTCATATAGTATTTGAAATTATATTAGCATTTATACAGAAAAGATAATAACATACTAACTATGTGTTTCACACTTTTTATTGCCAATATTGATATTTTTGTCAGAGATGATCTTAAATTAGTTAATTTTTTTTTTTTAAAATGAAGTTAATGACGTGGTTGGCTTTTCCATGTACCAATACAGATTAAAATAAAATAAAATTGATATCCCTCAATATCCTTGACTACTATCTTCTAATTATGTTTTGTTGACCTCAAACACAATTTATATTTTTTTAATAAAAAACACGGTAGGCCAGCCTAAATGTTGGGGAGTTGGTCCAGCAAGAATCCCCAAAATTCATGATGTTTTTCACGTTTGTTGGTGCATCCAATCAAAGCGAAAAGGAAAATTTTACTGTCTGCTTGGTTTCTCTCGCATGTTGAAACATAATCCCTAGAGTCTTCTCATATTTTATAGTGATATTTGACTTATTATTCACGGAAATTATAAATATATATATATATGTATATATATTGACTAACAAGTAACAAGATACCAAGTAAAACACATCCCTAAGGTTTCTGGTTAGTTCTAAATTACTAAAATAGTTTCATAAAAAACTTTGTTTGTCCTCATGATCATGACAGAACAGAAGAGTATTAGGTTCACATCTGCAGATTGCCTCAAGGCTTCAAAGTGACAATGTATGATAAGCAAAGATTTTTATTTTATTTTTAATCACAGTAGTCAAATCTTTTATGTTCCTTTCTAAGTCACTCTCAGATTTCATTGAAAACAAACATTGGAGGAGCTATTCTCAATGATGTACTACGGATACTGTGTGCTAATGGTGGCCAGAGGTGGGATCAATTGTCGTTGTTTTTAGTTGCATTGTCGTTTATCTATTTAGCTTTAATTTTATTATTAGTCTATCGTTATTTGTGTAGTTTATGGTATGTCTTAGTAGCTACGTTGTTATCATTTTTTTATATGAGCTATAAATACTCATATTAGCCATTGTAATAGGAAAGCTGGAATGTTAAGAATTGAATATAAAATTTAAGTGTTTTCTCTCTAATTAGGAGTTTTCCTCTTGTGGGTTTTCTTTAAGTGGATTTAGACTTTGAATTCCGTTTTCTGTCTGAATTAGGCTGATAAAATTTTTTCCTATTTATTCCGCTGCATCTAACAGATTGTGGTTTAATCTATGTTATACAACAACCAATTATTTTAGATAATAACAGCTAAATTAATGATCAAATTTGACATAAAACAACCAACCATTTAAGATAATTACAGCAAAAATAACTAATTTTACGATGCTGCACCACATTTGTGCGTTGACCTAGAAAAATTTCAGGGGAGCAAAACTATACCTCTGAAGACATTGGCAAGTGAAGAAAAGAGGCTAAAACGAAGAGTGTAGAGATCCATAGTTACTATACTTAAAAGAAACAAATATAGTTTGGTATCAGTTGTTACCTATACATGTTTATGACTAAATAAAACCCAAAGTATGCGTTTAGTTAATTAATTGTACAAATAAAATGAAGTTATTTATCTTGAAGACCCAGGAGTAGTTTATATCTGGATACTTCAATGGCAGATTAGAATTCTCTTCCCAAATTTCTAGCTTCACAAACACATGCCTTTTTTTTTTTTTTTTTTTTGCTACTAAAAACTAATAAAATTTAGGAAGAGAATTCTGAGTCATTGTGTCAGTGTACTGGAAACAAGGTGGTTGTATGATGCCAACAATCTCAGCTTCTTAGACTGATTCTCTACTGGACATAATTGTGAAAAAAAAATATTTCACTGGTCATAAGCTAAAAATTTAGTAATCTTCACAAGGAAAAAACAGACACTTCCGAACTTAATCTTGGTAAACCTGTGGTTACTTGAGGTAATCTATTCGGGTTTGGAGTAATGTAGCTTGAATATTGTAGGACATAATTCAGAACTCAGACATTCAATTAAGATTCTCAAGCCCGTCATTAGACATTAAATAGAAACAGAGAAAACGGCAGCATGGAGCTACCTAGGGCAGTTGCTATTTGTCTGTATTGGAGTTTGATGGCTCAACCATATTGAGCCATTATCCTTGAACAACTGAGAATTCAATCATACGCCTCACCTCCTTAACATTTAATTTCCACTAATGTATGAGTGACAATTCGCATTATTGAGAGTTCGTGTGGAGTTTAAACTAATTGTTTGCAAATTTCATCTGAACACTACCCGTGACATAAAAACGTGGATTTTATCGACACAGTTGTACTAAGCTTTGTATGGAACCACTGGCCGTAAGGGGAAAAAAAGCACAAGATTAACTAGTGATACTTACCACATATTTACTATGTTTACCATATCTAAATGTACAAAGGAGATTCTCGGGCACGCTTAGTGTACCGATGTCAAGTTTTTCTAACCGTTAAATTTACGTACTTTTTGACTTTTACGTGATTTTATGCAGATTTAACAGATATAAAATATGACCTACCAGTATATTTAGCGTATTAAAGAATGTCCTAATGTTTAATGGTCAAAATGATAAAAATCAGTGTTGTCCTTATTTTATTTTTTTTCTTCCTTTTTTAAGTGTGATTTACATAAACACGTCAAAAAAGTTGTGTTTTCTTACCTTACCATTGAGTCCAGATTTTCTATTTAATTTTTGATGTTTTAATTAGTATCTAATCAATTAAATCATACTGCATCATTCCATGATAAGCACAAAAGAATTAGTTAAAAAGCATATCAAATTTTTATACGACGCGATATAATTTAATTGGTTAGACACCAATTAAGACACTAAAATTGGACATAAAATCTAAGGCCCCGTTCATTTTGTTGATTCGAGTTTAGAATTTGAGTTTTGTTACAGTAAAAAGCTCTTACAAACAATCACATCTAACTTTTTTGCTACAGTAAAAAGCTCTCACATAAAATCACATCTCAACTCGAATTAAAAACTCGAATCAGCGAACTAAACGGGCCCTTCCATTAAAAATTGAAACCGTAGCTTTTGATTGAAGCACTGCAAACACGTGGGTTCTTTTGGATTTGGAAGGTGGGTTTAATTGATGAACTTACCTTTAAAGTTTATAAATTTAGATTTTTATCTCTTATTCTTTATTAATACCCATTTTACCAATAAACTATTTGACTAAAAAAGATATTAATTAAGAATAAAGCGTAAAAATTCAATATACATTTTAAGATGTATGTATCTCTTTTCTTATTTTATAATGAATGTAGTTTAATTAAAGCGGTTTAAATTAGAATTTAAATCGTGTGAGTAAAAATATTATAACATAATTTTTTTTAATCAGAAAAAAACATTAATTAAAGAATTATTTATTTCACATACTTAAACTCAAATCATTAAGGGGATGTTTGGTTGGAGGATTCAAACCATGATTTGAATCATGGTTTATGGTTCGTTACAGTGTTTTCTCTCACAAAAAATAAACGTAAATCGAAAATAGTTCTAATCACATGATTTTAATCCATGAACCAAACATCTCTAATTATATTATAATATAAAATTTGAATTTTAAACGTCAGAATAAAAATTCATGAGTTTAAATATACCTCTTGGCACTTTTCAAACCAACCCATCCTCTAAAAACACTCGCATAGCAGAACCACGTATGTTCGCAACTAAGGGTGTGTTTGGTTGGGTGGAAAGGAATGAAATAGAATGAAATGGAATTCTAGTTTGATGTTTGGTTGGATTTATAAGAAATGAATGATCATTCACAAAGAATGGTCATTCACCTATTTTTGGTGAATCATCATTCTTTCTTCATATAGGATGAATGGTCATTCTAAGTTCTTTTTTTTTCCATAATTACCCTTCAATACTATAATATAATTAAAATATATTATATAATAGTTATATCATTATTATATAATAATGGTATATTATATTATTAATAATATAATAATTAATATAATTAAATATTAATATAATTTTATAATCCTAATATTATTATGTATTATACACGTTATGGCTACATAATGTGTTAATTATAATATATTTATTTAATATAATCTAATATTAATTATATATTATATTGTAATTATATATATTATATTATAATATAATATAATTATAATTTTAAATTGTATTATAACTGAAATATTATTGTTTCTTATATAATATTATAATATGTTTTCTAATATTATAATTATATTAACCATTTTAATAATATTATTAAATTCCTTATCATAATTATATAATATATCATATAATAATAGTTTTATTGTATTATATTAAATATAATAATAATACATTATATTATTATTATATATAATATAGTATAGTTGTAATTTTTAATTATATTATATCTAAAATATTATTTTTTATATGATATAATCTTATAATATAATTTATAATATTATAATTATATTAACTATTTTAATAATATTATTATATTCTATATCATAATTATATAATATATTATATAATAATAATTTTATTATATTATATTTTATATATTATATTGATAGATAAAATATTAGTGTTATATATAACATAAAAGTAAATTTTTTAACATAAAAATATTCATGTTCAATTTCAAAATTTTTTTAAAATTACAACTAAACAAATAAATCAACTTTTTTTTTTTCATTCTCATTATTATTATCATTTTCATTTTTATTATCATTTTTTCACTGGTTAACTAAACGCACCCTAAAAGTAAAAGTAAAAGAGTAAAGACAAGAATTACAGAGGAATTGGGGAAAAAGGAAAAGAAACAATGTTGGCCTACCGTGAAAAAGAATTTACCGAAATCCATCAAAATCCATAACTTGCAGAAAATCAAGAGTTTTTTCTGCTGAAGTGATGGCAGTTTTCACCAATTCAATATACTTTTCCTCATTCTCCTGCCTTTTGATCTTGTTCTCTTCTCTAACCCTAACCCTAATCGCCAAACCCATTTTCACTTTCGCACTCCAATCGCCGACAAAATCGCTCAATTTTGACTACGAGATCGCCCTCTACGGCGACGCCAAGCTCGAAGGCGGCGACGGCGGCGCGAGCGTGAGGCTCACACGCCTGTCAGTTCCGAGCTCGGGGCTTCTTCTGCGCCGGAAGCCGTTCAGGCTTCTTGACCCGAACCGACTCGGCAATCCGACGTCGTTTTCGACTGATTTCGCCTTCTCGATCTCGCCCGGCGATGGCGGTGGTGTCGCGCTCGTCTTGGTTCCCGCCGATTTTGGGTCGAAGCTCTCGAATCAAGGCTCGCCTAGTGTTTCCGGAGAGAAAAGATTCGCCGTCGCCGTCATTAACGTTTCATCGACGGATTTAGGGCGCAGAAATGGAGAAAAGTTGAAGTCTTGGATTGATTACGACGCGAGCTCGGAGAGATTGGAAGTGAGGTTGGCTAAATTCGGAGCATCGAGGCCGTACGATCCGACGATCGCTTACGCCAGAGATTTATCGTCGATGTGGGGAGACGAAGAGGTGCTGGTCGGTATAAGCTCACCGTCTTCGACGGAGAATTCGTCTCGGATCATCACCGTTTATTCTTGGAATTTCAGGTTCAGAAATTTCCCCAATTCGATGCATTCTCTCCCGGCTGATCCGAGAGTCTCTAGGCAACATCCGACTGATCATCAGAAACGGCGTGTTTGCCCATTGGCGGTGCTCGGAGGGCTGATCTTCGCGACGGTATGCGGGGCTTTAATGGCGTTCGCAGTTCTATTCTTGTGGGCTGTTGTTGCTGCCAACAAACACACGGTTTTTCCTGTTGATCTTTCCCATGTGAAATCTATGGGTTTCAGGTATGAGAAGTTCGGTGTAGTTGTAGAGAAAGATAATGGTGATCGTGTTAAGAATTAGAAGCTGGATTTTGCTATGTTGTTTGTTTTTTGTGTTATCTGTTTTGTGGATATAGTGCTCAAGTATGAAAACTATGGTATTTTCACACTATTAGTACGAAATATGAATACTTCTGTTGTTTATGTACTAAGTTTTATTCCATTACTTCTTAACATGTAAGCTATATAGCTCAGTTGAAGAAAGAATGGAAAATCAAGATGACGTGCCTAGATACTTTATAGTTAATGCCTAGTTGTTACTTACATCTGAAAGCCTGCAATGATTGTTCATCGAAATTGTCCACAGATCTAGTATACAGGCAGAGTTCTAAGTAGCCTTCGGCACGTAGAAATCCTTGTCATAGTCGTTCAAATACTCGATCCTTGTACTTAGGATAATGTGGCTTAAACGCGGCTTACGGTCGTAATGATATAGATTTTTATTTTTATTATCATTGCAATTTCTAAATGAATGGAACTCGTTGTTCTTTTCGCCATCATTTTGTTGCTAAAGAGTATTAGGCAATTTGGATGACCAATACTAAGTAACGTTTCTTTGAGTTATGTTGGACGACCCATTGGTGTCGGCCATGTTATTACAGTTTGTGTTTTCATTCCGTAGGCCTTTGTTATTTCTCTCTCTTATGTTCCCTTGCTTTCTCTTTTTAACTGTCTGCTTTTTTATTTCGTTTTGCTTGTCAAGTGCTAACGAACATTATGAATGAGCTTCTATAGCTGCCTTATGATTGAATATGCCTGATTATGGAAGAAGCCCTTTTGTGTGCTTTGATTAGGTTAACAGTTGATCCATATATTAGAATGTTGACATCTCCATCCTCCATAATATTTCGCTACTGACCCTGACTAGACTTAAGGAACAATCAAGTTGTATTTCTCCATTTTAGCTATAGAAGATGCTCATTTCAAACAATGAGTTATCATGTGATAGAGATCTTACTACACAAGCACAGACGTTATAGGACTCATTAACTTGTTTATACTTATAAATTGTGAGGAGAAAATCAATGTTCAACAGGATCTTTGTATTGGACAGCTGTGCTTATTGTAATGAACTGTTTAGTTTGCTGATTCGAGTTAAGATGTGATTTTATATGAGAGTTTTTTACTGTAGCAAAAAAGTTTGATGTGATTATTTATGAGAGTTTTTTATTGTAGTAAAATTTAAATTCTAAACTCGAATCGGTGAAATGAACCTGCTTATTATTTATAATACTATAGTGGAGTGAAAAGATTGATGCCCACTATATCTCTTATTTAATACGAAATCCTATTGTGAATCTTTTCTCTCTCTTTTTTTTAATTATTTTTTTAATTTTTTACTGGAATTCCACAACCATTAGTAACCAATGTTTTTTTAGTATAAAAGATGTTGGTATATGCGAATTTATAATTTGATAAGGACAATGCTTGCTGATTAGTTTATAAAAAGAAAAAACTTACTTGGTGCTTTTGTTAGGGCAGAGTTTGTCAGGAAGGCAAGATAATGATTTCTTTATGTCGTTTTCATGTGACTTCAACAAGAATAATAATAATGGGTGGTCAATGTTGTAGTCAATAAAGATTACTCAATTTGATTCTCTCATTCACGCTAACTTTTTTTTAGAGGGAGGGGGGAACAAAAAACAAAGGACGTGTTTAAAATTGATTTTTTGTTTATTTTTAAATTACACGCGTTTTGAGGTACGTAAATAAAAACAATCTAAAAATTGTATTTGTTTAATAAATGTTTTGAAAATAAAAATAAAAATGAAAATAAAAAACAGTAAGAATGATTTTTTTGAAGAAATTAAAAAATGATTGAAAAATTTTTCTTTTTTGTTTTTATTTTTTAGTACTTATTAATAATATTATAATATATTAATTAATAATTATAACTAAATATAATTTCACCCTTTTTTATACTCAAAATAATCTCTTAAAAAATTAATCAACTGTAATTTCAGAATCGGTCTCAGAATGATTTTTAAAACAATCTCATTTTTACTTTTGTATTGAAAATAAAATCATTTTGAAAACGTTACTGAACGAGCCTAAAAATATGACGAGGTTGATTTTTTAAGTGGATTGGTTAACGTGATTGGTTAACGTGCGACTGCGTCCCATTAATGAAAGGCAATAATGGCATGTTTACCTACACATAATAGGAATGGCTGTGAATCAGAATGAGCAGGATTCAGAGTGGGTATGATTCGTAGTAAGGAATCAGAGTCAGAATAAGTCGTTTACTTGGTGACAAGATTCAGAATCGGAGTCATTTCAAATCTCATCCATACGTTTACTTACACCCAGAATCAGAATGAATTAATATAAAAGTACTAATATACCATTTAAATTAATTATATATTTTTAATTTAAAAATAAATTGTGTAATTGCTATATTAAAATTAATCATTATTAAGACATTTAGTATAATAATAGGGTAATATAATAATAAATATAAATTACAAAATTATTTAAAATATAAAAATAAAGTTTCAATATTTAAATAAAATATATAAAATAAAAAATAGTGTTAAAAATTAAAATATAATATTAATTTATTAAAAAAATAAAATACATATTTATTATATTAAAGTTAACAATAATTAGGCTAATATTATAATATTAGACAAATAAAATGATAAATACAGATTCTAATTATTATTTTTAAATTTTATTTTTGCTTTTATAATATAAGTAACATAAGGATATGATAGTAATTTAATGTTAATATTAAGAATGAGAGTCCCAATTCTAAGGAGAGGCACGAGAGTGTCAATCTCATTCTTCAATCTTAAATTTGAGTAGAGCCCACCAATCTCACTTTCATTCTAGGATAAAAAAAAAAACAAGTAGACATGATATTGACTCTTATTCCCTACTCTCATTTCTCAATCTTAGTAAGTAAACATGTCATAAAAGTTTTACCAATCAAGAGTAATGAATCCCAGTAAATTCATAAATACAAGGTGTGTTTTGAATTTGAAGAGCTTTTCAAAAGCAGCTTTTACTTTTTTAGGTAAAAATGTTGCTTTTGAAAGTGTTTCGACTTTTTAAAAGAACTTTCAGTTAAAGTTAAAAAATAAAACTACTTAAAAAGACACTTTTATTAGATTTTAAAACTTGTACTAGAGTTTAATTAAAGCATTATAATTTCATTTCAACACTTTTATTATTTATTAAGAAATTTAAAAATCATTTTAACCTATTAAACTCTTGGTTTCAAACCCTTTTGGAAAACTCACAATTTTTATTTCTCTTCTTCCACTAATTAGAAACAAAAGTAAAAACTCATTCTAATGCTGAAACTTTGGATGGGCCGCCCGCGACTACCGAAAATTCTGAATTTTTACCTGATGACCGAACCCACCTGAGCCCGAATTTTCGGGCTACCCGACCCAAGCAAGACCCTCGACAGGCTTCAGGTAAGTTTTGGCTGTCCAAGCTCGGTCGGGCAGCCCGAGACCACTCGAGGTGCCCGAAGTATTTTTTTTAATATTTTTTATATATTTATATACTATTATTATATTATATATAATTTTATTTATTAATTGATATGATATGTATATAAATAATTTTTAAGTTATTTATTGTAAAAATTATACAAAAATTATAAGGGAGATTGTAATTTGAAATTTGAAATGAACACAAACTATATAAAAAAATTATTTATTTATTAATTTTTAAATTTGTAATTCATAATTGTCTCGTTAAAAATCTTGCCAAGAAAAAGTCAATTGGGATAAAAACTTGGTAAGAAAAAAAGAGTGCAATCATTGTGGAACAAATTACAAATTTGACGAACTTACAAAGTCTATGCAAGATTACAATAACACTGTACAAAGTAAATACATATTTACAAATTACAATAATAGAATTTAATTTGAAGCTGAAGGATTGTCTTTAAAATTAAAAGTTAATCTATTAAATTCATCGATCCATTCTTAACTTGTCGGCGAAATTGTATCATGTAAGCATTGGTCGGAACAATCCCAATCCTTAATGCACACTAAAGCTTCATCAATGTCCTGTTACAATGCGTTTCTACGTTTCTCTAGTCTTCGGCCGATTGTACTGAAAGCTTGGTTGGATGAAACAGTGGAGACTGGGATCGAAAAAATATCCATTGCCAGTCGAGTTAGGATCGGCCAAGTTAATGCTGGCACCCTCTACTTTTGAACCAAATCAAACATTTCACTATTGTCGACTACTAAGCCCTCACTCAGGTATGCTATTAACTCGTTGAAGCCGCCGCTGTTGCCGCCACCTCTTGATGAAGATCCACTCTCAGATTCTTCTTGACCATGAGTCGTCGTTATCGTCGTCTTCTTCTTCTTCAACCCAAAAACATTCAAGAATGAATGCGGATTGTCATCTCATTGTTGCGGTTATTCTACACGAGGTATGTTTCGAAACCTACTTTTATAAGAGCTATAAAGAGATAATATTTTTTCCTTTATAATAGGAAATTGGTCAGAGCAGTCGATATCTAAAAAGTCACCTAAGTTTTCTAATCCACTTTCTAAACCTTCTAATTTTAATCTATGATAAAAAATAACACTGAAACCATACAACATTGGTAATTTAGCCCAATATTTTTTAAACTTCTTTTCCATAGAAGCGATAGGAACTCCTAAAATCTCGTGTGTCCTAAATTCACTAAATAAAATAGCCATTCTTAAAAGTTATCCTAACACTAATGGTGACGTTGGGTAATATGTTCCACTAAGCTTTAAAGTAACTTAGTGAAATCTACCTAAAAAGTTATACAAAAGTTCAGCAATTTGCCAATCAGTTTGGTCTATAAATCATGGTCCTAATTTTACACTAACATAGTTTGTTATAGTATCTTTATAGGGGATGCATTGTTCAAGCATTATATAAGTGAAGTTCCATCTTACGGGCATATCTAAGGCTAATATTTTAAAATTTTGATTACATGCTTGTAGAAACCTAAACCAATCTTGTATTCTTTGACTACTACCTTGAATGCATGCAATGTTATCTCTAATTCTTTTAATATGACCTGACATTAATTTTAAACCGGATTTTACTATTAAATTAATTACATGACATGCACAACATTGGTGAAATATATCATTATTACCGAATAAACTTAAATCATTTTTAAAAAGTTCTATTGCTTTAGTATTTACAGTAACATTATCTAATGTTATAACCATTACTCTATCCCTTAAACTATATTAATCAATGATAGATAAAATTGTATTATATATTAAATCGGTGGTATATGATCCTAGAATACATTTAAAACTTAATATTCTCTTATCTAAATCAAAATCTTTAAAATAATATCCGGTTACAGCTAAAAAATCTTTGTTGGCAACGACGGACCAAATATCCGTCGTTAACGCAACGCAACCACTAGTAGAGTGTAAAAGGTTGATTAATGCTTCCCTTTCTTGTCTATATAATTTTAATGCATCTTTCCTAAGAGTAGTTCTTGAAAAAAATTGTGCATTATGATTATATACAATTT